TTTTAGATGCGGTAATAGGACAAACGTGTGATACTACATAGTACATACTTGTGATTGTACCAAAGTGTTATATTGGGCCTATACAAAAGCCTGTTATATGTCGCGATGGAAAATATGTATGTGATGATTCGAAGGCATACTTTGCTGATCCACAAGACGAAGACCCTTGTACGATTCTTATTGAATCTATATAGTTTGTTCAAGTGAATCTAAAGCCTACTAAGATTGGCTTATGATAATTATTATTATGTGTTAAGGACCATTAAAATATCAGATTATGTTTCAGTCAAATTTTATATTTATAGTTTATAAATAAAGAAAAACAGTACAAATTTATAGTGGGGTTAGTTGGGGTTTTATGTAGATATGTATAGTTAACTATGTTTCTCATATGTACAAAACTCATCACTGTATATGCTATAGTTAAAAAGAAAATTAACAGCAATAGTCATAGAGATTCGAAAATGAACTTGCTTCACAAGATTGAACATAAAATCTCGTAACTTTCTCGAATCAGCCTTAAAACACGACAACAAACATTATATTCTTGAATCGACCACGCCGTAGGAAACAAAACATAAAGATTATTGATCAACTTTCTTGAATTGACCACATATTGAGCGGAAATCAACAAAGAAATATCTAGGATTTTCTGGAACATGTTTTGGGGATTTTAAGAAATGACTGAGAGATTGGGTGTTTTGTGATGTGTTTTACCACGTAGGATTAGTTTTTTCCACGTAGGAGATGTGTAATGCCACACACTCCACCTTAAAAACAAATGTCTCACACGATAAGTGTCAAGTTAGTCAGGAAGTTCAAGGGGTCATGCCGCTTATGTGTTATGCTAAATGTGCTTACCATAAAAAATTACAAACATCACATATTACTCTTAAAGTAAATAATTATATGTGCGGATTTGAGAGAGAACCAATTTAGATGGAAAATTTAAAGGAAATAGATACATTCATAATGTTCTTTTCGATTATTTTTGAGAAAAAGAAAAAAAATAACTTAAAAAATGAAAAGGAAAAGTGGCTTAGAGAAAAGGGGTCACATATCATAGCAAGTCAATTTTACCTAATGTTGTAGAATATTTTATACTTTAAAGAATGACAAAAGTATTGTATTGGTATTCTGATACCATTTTAACGAGATGAGTAGACTCGTTATAAGGTTTGGACAATTCTTTTCCTTTTGAGCTAGCATTTGGTGTATGTATTTGACCTAAGACTTAATTTAAAATAGTATCAGAGTTAGTTCATCATCAGAGTTAGTTCATCTCACCCAATGTTGGGCCCCCGAAATTAAAAATTGCCCACACATGCTCAGTCTGGTGTGAGGTGAAATATTAAAAAATGATCGAAGTTCCACATTAGTGGTTAATGATATAGGTGAACTCCTTATGAATCTTTGACAATCCTCCTCCCTTTGACCTAAATTTTGGGGTGTGATTTAGGCCTAAAACCTAATTTAACATGGTATTAGAGCTATGTTCATCTCACATGATGTTAGGTCACCAAGACTAAAAATTACCCATTCATGATAAACACTGAGCATGAGGTGAAGTGTTGAAGATGACAAAAGTCCCACATTGGTGGTTAATGAGATGAGTGTACTCCTTATAATATTTAGTAAAATTTTCTTCCTTTGAATTAGCTTTGGCGTGTGAGTTGGGCTCAAACCTAAATAGTGCAACAAATCTAACTCAATTATAAACTATTTGCAAAATTTTCAAAAATGCAAATACAACAAAAGCCTCAAGTCTATGATCTTGGAGATAATCTTTCTTCCCGTTATGGAAGTTGTAGAAACTACTTTATTATCAAATGAAATAAATTTGAATTTTAGTTTTGATAGATAAACGATAATCAAAATAATATTACTCACCATTTCAATTTATTTCTTTATTTTAATTTAAAACAAAATTTATTAAAGAAAACTTTTTGAATTATGTAAACTAAAAATATGGATAATGCATAAGTACCCCTCTATTCGATGACGAAATATTAGAGATTCACCTATGTAGACAATAAAATCTGCCTCGAGAAAACAATAATCAAGAACGAAAGATTATAGCAACAATTAATTTATTATTTCAAGTGTGAGTGTTACAATCTCTATGATTCCTCTGAATTCGTCTTTTCAAATATAACTCAAGGGCTTTAAAGCTTGATCTTGAACGTGGAATTTATTTTGATCTTGAACTTGATCTTAAACTTGGATTTGGACTTGGACTTGGACTTGATCTTGATTTGAACTTTATCTTGATCTTGAACTTGAACTTTATCTTGTTCTTGACTTCTAGTTGAATCCAAGAGAATCGAGCTTGATCTTGATCGTTCTTGAAACTTGAATGCTTGAATTCTTGAACTTGTAGAGAAAACTGCAGCTTTTGATCCAGGAGCTTTCTCTAGCTTCTCGCCAAAATTTTTGGTTCCCTTTTTTCGAATTATAAGACCCCTATTTATAGTTTTAGAATCAGAAAAGGGCCTAAAATACCCTCAAAGTATTGGAAATGGTACAAAATTACCCTCCATCCACCTATTGGCTCCAAAATACCCTTCCCACCCACCTATTGGGTCCAAAATACCCTTGTCATCCCCCTTTTAGTTCAAAATTGACCACTTATTTAACGGTTTTATATTTAAACTATTTAAATATTTTTAAAATACGTGGCGCTCAACTTTATGTTATAATTTAAATTATTCGTATAATTTATAAATCAATCAACTATCCATCTCATTAATAAGTAAATCCCTCTAAATTAATGAACCCGACTATCCCTCCCATTAATAAGTAAATCCCTCTAAATTAATAAACCCGGTACGTTTTTAATGCAAGCTACTGTCAATTGAGTGTTTTTAAAAATTATAGAAGTAAATTATCATACATTCGAGTAGCTACATAAAATTCACCAATAAACTTAAAAGTCTGACTATGTTCATCATAATTATTCTTACGTCCCAATTATGTGATGTTACTTCATAGGTAACTTTTTTTCAAAATAATATATTAAAGTTTTAAAACAAATTATAAATATTTATAAAATTATATTTTAAAAAAGTGCATGAATCAATTCGGGATGTATTACTTCTTTACCTTTAATCATAAATTTCTAATTCTATTTTGAAAGAAAGGGTCCTCCTAAATAAGTGGCTCAACCTAAATTTAATTGGGGCTCCGATTCGAACAAAAATAATTTTGAATGTCATTTTCAAAAATCTATAATTTCATCGTGTTTTAGTAGTGTTTATGAGGATTTTGATATTATAATTGGATTATTAATTGGGTGAGGTTTAGTTAGTAATGAGTGGGTAGTGGGTTGATTTATAAATTATATTAATAAGTTATAATTATAATCAATAATTGAATGCCAAGTATTTTAAAAAATATTTAAAGAGTTTGATTTTTAAAAAAATTAAAAAAAATGGTCAATTTTGAACACAAAAGTGGATGACAAGGGTATTTTGGAGTCAATAGGTGGATGAAAAGGACATTTTAAAGCCAATAGGTGGATGAAGGATAATTTTGTACCATTTTCAATACTCTAAGGATATTTTAGACCCTTGTCCAGTTTTAGTATAGAGGATTTGTGATTGAACAGGACTCCCTTCGGCCAGTCATATTTAAGTTAAATATCATATAGGCTTTATGGAGCGGGCTTTATTTAAATTTACATTTATTGAATTAAATAATTAAATCAATTATATTAATTCATAATATTTATTTGAACTAATATATTCATTAATTTAATATAATCCGAACAATTTATAAATTTATATTTAATAAATTTTAAATAACTACAACCTAAACTCAACCAAAATCTTGATATTACCCTAGAATCATTTTATTCGTACTTTATGCATCTTTTGTGCTGATGTGACACATTCAATCAACCAAGTTGGTTATGTTCGTACACACTCGCCCGTCATGTGTGTAAATAATCTTTTTTAATAAAAATTTTTAAAAATATTTCTTATTTTTTTAAAAATAAAATTTCATAATTTCTTTAAAAATTAAAGGGATAATGCCCAAGTACCTCCTCAACCTATGCCCGAAATTTCAGAGACACACTTATACTATACTAAGGTTCTATTACCGCACTGAACTTATTTTATTAATAATTTTTTACCCCTTTTCGACCTACGTGGCACTGTCTTGTGGGTCTAACGATGGTTGACTTTTTTTTTCAAACTAATGCCACGTAGGCTAAAAGGGGTAGAAAGTTACTAATAAAATAAGTTCAGGGGGTAATATGACCTTAGTATAGTATAAGTGTGTCTTTGAAATTTCGGGCATAGGTTGAGAGAGTACTTGTGCATTTTCCCAAAAATAAATATTTAATTCTTTCAAAGAAAAATATTCTTATTTTTTATCTTGTATTTAAATTAAGTTAACATTTTTTTTATCTTGTACTTAAATTAAATTAACATTTTTTTTTATCTTTTATTTAAATTAAGTTAACATTTTTTTTAATCTTATATCGAAACTATTTTTTTTAACTTACATTCATTTTTTTCTCTTTTATTTTCCTGTTGAGTTTATTTTCTTTCTCTTTCATTTTGATTTTATTTCAAATGTCTTGTATTTAAAATAAGTTAATTTTGAAAAGATATCAAAATACGCAAAGAAAATCAAATAAAACATAAAAATATTAAAACATTAAAATTAAAAGACACTTTTAAATTATTAATTTTTAAATACACACAATTTATTTAAAATAATCAACAAAGATGATAGATTTAAAAATTTAAAGTGAAAACAAATTTAAAAAATATTATAAAAAAATAAAAATAATTAAATATGTATAAAAAAATTTATTGATAAATATGTGTACTAACTATTATAAAGTAACCAATTAAAAAATAATATATCTAATTTGTGCATTCATCACTTGCCTTCAAGAGCGCGTGTACGCTCTCTATGAGATATCAACATTTATGATTTATTTATTCTATTTTAAATTATCTTATATACTTATATAAAATAAAGTAAAATTAGAAGAAGAAATTTAATTTTACCTTGAAGAAAATTGAACTTGGGAGCAACCAATATACATCAAAATTGTTCATTGAACATTAATGTCAAACACTTTGGGATTGCTACTAGCCTTAGGTATAGTAATATACAATACACCATCTTTAACCTCAGCCTTAATCTTTTCAAAGTCAATATTTTCAGGCAAAGCAATTCTTGTATTATATTTTCCATAGCTCTTAGCTGACCACTCTTCCTCTTTTTCATTATTCTTCACCATTTTTTCACCTTTTACAACCAACATTTTCTCTTCTAACCAAACTTTAACATCTTCTTTGGTCATTCCTGGCATGTCAAACCTCATTTTGTATTCTCCTTCATTTTCTTTGATCTCCCATGGTGTCCTTCCCCTTCTGTACCCGATATCATCGGTCGATGGCCCTGTAATCGAAGTGAATGTAGCGTACGATCAATGAGTTAAATCGATCATCAATATTTTCGATACGAAGTATAGCTATATATACATAAATACAAAGTCCGAATAAATAATTTTGATGTACGAGTATAGCTATATATACATAAATATTAAGTTGGAATAAATAATTTTGATGTACTCTTATTGGAACGAAGGAAAAAGAAAACATTTCCTAAAATATAGAACAACAAATCTAAGTTTCTTATTTATTTTATTTTTATTTGTTTAGAAGTACATTACATAATTAACTAAAAATCACCTACCATTTATATATCATCTAGCAGATCAAACATCTAAATATTTACTTGTGACACCTTTCACGAGTCAAATAATTTAAATTTGATTGAAAATTTTTACGTATGACATCTTCAAAAAAATTAAAATAAAATTTATATATGTATATTTATTAACTACGTAAAAAGTAGTCCTTTCATTTTAAATTAATTAAATTTTGAGAAATTTTTTATTTTTCAAATTAACTTAATTACTCAATTTAATTACAAGATTACTTTTAAAATAATCTTCTAATTTTATCTTTAATTAGTTAGTATTGAAATTAATTTAATTATTTTAATCATAAATTTAACATCAATTAGTAAGGAAATAAATCATTATATCTAATTTATGTCTTAAATATACAAGATAATTCACTTAATTTGGAGCAAAAAGAGTTATAAAGGTCACACTAATTGATAATTTAAAATATTAAAAAATCAATGAAAATTTATAATAAAAAATAAATATATTAGATTTCAAAATCCAAAAAATGTTAAATGAAGTAATTATATATTACCTAGCAAAAAAGATAAAACATTATCTAAAGAGAAGTATAAGCCAGAATATAATGGGGACTTGTGGCTTAGGATTGAGATGGTCAAAGAGGTGGAACCAGGGTCGGGGCAAATCAGTAGGTGGGGGGATGCAGTAAATTTAGATTTGTTATTCTGCTCCTATTAGAAAAATCATTTTTTTTAAAAAAAAATCATTTTCTTCCAATTTAAAAATTAAAAATTTACTATATATACCTACAACCCAACCTCCATTAAAAGCAAGAGGATCCTCTATGACTCTGTCCATTGTGTCCATCATTTGTTGGACTGTCCTTGCTGTTGGAAACCTATCCCATAACCCTGCCACAAAATAAACATAGCAAAGATCAAAATTACTAAAAGAAAATTGCCCAAAACTAGAGACAAGTTAAAGATATATAATTTTTTTTATTTTATAATTTTCATTAAATAATAACCTAAGAAAAAAATAATAATAAACCTGTTTATATGTATAGGACTTCAACTATAAAAATGGTTTGTGCATATTGGCCCACCCCCTCTTCGAAAATTGATCATCAAAGACTTTGACATCATGTGTTATGATGAACAAAAATAACATGAACTTCACCTAGGACCTTTAACTTTAGAAATGCATAAATATTTATTTTATTTGACAATTTTATGTCTAACTTAGTATTATATCATATATAATATATATAATTTTATATAAATTTAACTATTTTGATTAATGTATGATCCATAAATATCAGCTAAAATCAAATTATACGATACCTTATATCAAAAAATTAAAAATAATAAGTGGAAAAGAGGATGTATCGATTCTTACCAACAGGGGCCATTTGGGGTGTTCTTTTTCTAGGTTGAGGAGTCTTGTTTTGTCTTTGTAAGTGATCAAGATTATGTCTTTCATCAACAACCATGACCTTCAATTTCTTATAATTACCTTGATATTTTCTACTAGAAATTGGAAGAGAGGAGTTGGAATATTTTGGATTGTTTGAAAATAAAATAGGTTGAGAAATTGGAAATCTTGATAAGCAATGAGCCATGTTTATAACTATTATTTTCTTTTTTGAAGTTCCAAACTCAAAATAAGAATAAAGAGCAAAGGTGAGTGATGAAAATATAAAGGGTAGAGAAGAATAATCTGGAAATACTAAATGAATGACTTGTTACTAGACCTCTCTAGAACTTCTTTAAATTCTCTAGGATTGGTTTTAAAAAAAAAAGTATGGGCAACAATATTATTTTACCATATGATTTGTATTTTACTTGTAATTAATTTCCCATATATCACTTTGTCTTTGTTGACATCCAGAAAGTTCTAGGATATTGGTAGAAGGTACATGATGAGTCGAGGACCACATATTTGGTGACTTAGTGTGGAGTTTTAGTTAATGATTCTGCTTTTTTATTTATTTATTTTCTACCTTGCATATTCGAATTAAAAAAAAACAGCTCTTTATGTGCTAATACATGACCAAATTAAGGATTGGAAAATAATTAAGAATTTGTCTTTTAAAAGTTTTATTTAATTTTTATTATATTATATACGATTATAGGTGCCATTAGACAGCTTACTTGAGGAAAAAACCACAAATTTATATATAATTTTGGAGAAAAAGTCTCAAATATATTAGAATATATCAACTGAAATTGTCGTATAACCATTTAAAATTTTGAGCAGAATTTATTATTTCCTGCATTATTTAATAGTATATTTCAAAATATATATAAATATTCAACTGGACAAATTACTATTTATACTGATGTAATATTTATGATGTTTGAATACCTATATATTTTTAAAATACACTAGTTCAAATGTATTTCAAATTCTTTTCATATTTTTGTCGGAAATCTACATGTATATTTTTATTATTTATTATATAGAATATAATGGTTAAACATACAATTTGGGAGAAAACACAAGTCATTTGCATTTTGCCCCTATTTTGTGCTATTTTTAATTTTTACCTGTTAAAGGTAATAACTCTTTTTTGGTAATATAACTTATATTTTTATATTATAATAAATATTATATAAATTATGATTGAAGCGCGTTGTTAAAGAACTTATGCCCCCTCTAAAAGCAGAAGTTTGACTAATAAGGATAAAAATCAATTAATATGCAAAAGATAAACCATGCAATTTAATGACAAAAATAAACCTTAGAAACTCTATAGACAATCCAAACCCACGTACAAATAATCAAATATGTTCGATTCATAATTCAATATTACCAATTGTGTGCTATAATACTATTTTCAATGGTATCAGGTAAATTATCAAACACATGAACCTGTATACTACTTTTTCAGAATTATTGTTTATAGTATTTTGATTATCACATAATTTAATTGTTATTTTGAATATTTACATTGTTTCTTATTATTTGTGATATTCTCTCAATTTTCTCCTTCTCTATATAGAGATTTTTTGTACTTAAGTGGAGAATCCTTCAGAAAATGACTGATCTTCACAAATAATATAGTAGAATATATTGTTGTACATTTCTTTGACGTAATTAATTATGCTCCCTCGATAATTTCACTTTATTGTAGTAGAGTAGTTCATTTATATTTCATACGTTTATATGTAAAGAAAATATAGCTATAAGGTTAAAGACAAATATTGTGGCTGGCAAAGATATTCTAGGTCACATCATTAATATTTTTATTCAAACAAACTATAGAACCATCCATACAACAAACACCAAGAGAAAAAAAAAAAAAGAATGTTGATGATTAGGCCTGGATTGTACAAATTGAATCGAATAGATATGCCAAAAATACTCAACTTTGAATAGTAGAAGCTTATGCTACTCGTTCGAATCCTCCAAAAATACAGTCATACATACGAGTGTATGATTCTTTAAGGCTAAATATTTTTTAAAAGATGAAATTTTTATTGATCGTTATAGAAAATTGTCTTGTAAGTTGTCGAAAAGATCCCAATTATGAATTGGACTAGTTATCCAATTTTGTAAAGGATCTTCAAATCCTGGATAATACATATCCAAAGTATGTGAATTTTGGAACATTTCCAAATTATTACTCTCATTTATGCTTGAACTAGATGTTGAATTTTGTTGCTCTTGTGTATACTCTAAAGTTTTTTCTGGCATCACCTTTTCATTAATCTCTTCACTAACTTGTTGCTTAATATCATCATTATTAATCTCCTCAATTGGCTTGTGAGTTAGAGGGTCTATGCCAAGAAATTTTAGCTTTTTCTTGATTCTTGTATTCCAATGATTCTTGATTTCGTTGTCAGTACGTCCTGGAAAATGTCCTGCTATCTTCGACCACCTAATATTTTTAAAAAAGTGAAATTAGCAACATGAAAAATAACGCGAAGACATCAATTGTGCAAAAAATATATGGATGTGCAAGGTTATTACCTATTGCCAAGTTGAGAATGAAGCTTGATGATCATGTCTTCCTCTGCTTCAGTAAGTGCTCCTCTTTTAAGGTCTGGCCTTAAATAATTTATCCATCTTAATCTACAGCTCTTTCCACATCTCATTAGCCCTTCAAATATCATCAATTAATTATATTCCATCATATTACTTTATTCTTTTGAAATTTTATTTTTACAATGTCAAGAAAGGAAATCCATATATTTATGTTATATAGTGTGAACAGATAATATTAGTAGGTAGTATAAATATCAAATCTAGGTAAGTTATTTTAGAATAATTACGAAATACTCTTTTTAGTTCATATCAATTAAATTTGTGAGGGCATGCAATGCATAATCCTAAAGAAGAAGAAAAACAGACATAAAGAACGCCATTTTTTACTTTTGTCACTTTATTTTTAAACTATTCTTGAAAATAGAAACAATTCAAAGTAAAATCAGAAGCATGAACAATTAACTCTGTCTCGAACTTATCACCTAGAAAATATAAAAATAAAAGAAATTATCAATCGACAAATCTCTTGAACAATGAACAAGAGGCACTCTACCTTACTATACGAGAGCAATAGAGTAAAAACGATAAATATTTACACGCGATAGATGAGTTGAAATAATTCAAAGACATTACGTGTGTTGTTTTATTAATTTAATTTGTTACCTGCTAATTTTGGTACAAGACGCCAACATTGTATACCATTATTGAGAATGAAATTCATAAGCTTATGATCTTCTTCAATTGTCCAAGGACCCCTTTTGAGTCCTATTTTGTCACAACAAGGTTGTCTTCCCATTTTAATTAATTTTCTTTTTGCTACAATTGAACTTTGGATTAGTAGCCAAACAAAAAATGTAGCTTATAAACAAAAGCAAAGATTCTGCCAACTCAACTAATAATTGAGGAAGAAAAAAAGAATCAAATAATTAACCTTACTTATTTAATAATTATATATTGTTTGGTTTTCCTTATCATTGCTAACCAAAAAAATGTACCATTTATTTATTATTAGAATTAAGAAAAATGAAGTAACAGACGTGACTTCTTGTCGTTGACATGTTTTTATATATACCCACGATGTTTTCTCCAATTGAATTTTGCAAAAAGTAAAACATTTTAAATTTATCAAAAGATTCTTAAGGTTGCCTTTCAGCTGGCTTTTGTTACATTTAATGGGAGGCAAGTCCTTTTCTTCTCCTCTTTTTATTATTTTATTCCAGTATCGAAAACACTTTTAAATTTAATGTCAAGTATTAGTTTTATTTTCGAATTATTGATTGTACTCTTAATTAAAAACACTCTTTTATTTGACTATCGAAAATTATATGTACATCTGATCTTGCAACATGAGTGAATTATACTCTTAAAGTTTCACCAAAGTTAAGGGTGTTTCTCAATATTTGTGTCGATTTCTTTATTAAGAGTCTCATGTTTCTACAAGAGTTTGAGATCACTTACAATGTCATCTGGCAGATTGAGATGTATATAAATTTAGATAATTAAATGAAGAAGTATTTTTCATCATAAAATTATCAATAATTTGAGATGAAACTAATCATTCAATACTTCTCTATTAAATCTATTTATTAAGTATTCGAAGCTTTTTGATTCAACTAAAGGCTAAGGTGTTCTACTTTAATTTATTTATGTATTTTTCTTTACCTTATCCCGTGCATCAAATCTTAAAGTGATTCATTTTCTCAATATTTTTAGTGCAATTTGTAGCAAACATTTATTATAATTTCATAAGCCAAATATGAATGCTTGTTAAGCCCATCATTATGTGTTCATTTTTATCATTGATTTTTGTTGACAACTTCAAGTTTCGTGATTGTTAATTGGTTAATTAGGTTGACTATATATATTAATCTCCAACGATATGATTAATTAGAATATGCTCTCTTAGATAAACCATCTTTTAAGTACGTCAATTTTATATATTTAAGGCCTTTAAGTTCTAACACAATTAAATATAAAAGTATAATTCTCTAACAACTTAAGTTTTTATATGAGATAATCAATTTAATATGATAATCAATGCAAACAGGGCTCTTGAGATTGAATTTCATCACCACTCGTATTAGAAAGAAGTCTCACGCGTTTGATTAATAAAAAGAGTCTTCTCCTTTACTTTTATGAAAAGTTAACATGTTTGTGCACTTTGTGCGAAATGTTTAATATGAAGAGTTATTAAAAAAGAGATTTTTTTTCTCAAACAGACTAAAAATAAAAAATTAAATTCATCTGAATCTCTTTTTAATGAATTTTTTTCAGAATATGATACTTAGAAACTTAAAAGTATTTATTAATTTGCAAAGGCAAGAAGAGACAGAAGAACAAAAAGAATAGTTGTATGGAGATATTGTTGTCTGAAAGATATTTAGATGGCTTTCATGATTCAAGTACATAGTCAGGATTTGAATAATGTGTTCAATGAATTTGTAATCTCCTTTCTGTACATGGACCATGCTTTATTTTTTTATTATACTAAGCAAAAATGATTGAATATTGAGATGGTTTAACTAAAGACAATAAAATAATAGTGCACTCACAAATATCGACTTAATTAACGCCTTCCTTATCAGAAAAATTTAAACCGTTAAGAATTAATAATCTGATAATAAAAAATATTAGAACAGTTTCAAAAACTG